CGGCAAGGGTTGTACTCTTCCTCAGTTAAAGCTCACAGAGCCCTCAGGCATACCCTCTTCTATCACAGCCACCGCCATGGGTTCGGGTTGGGATATTGACGAGCTCATCACGCACAAGTCTATGCTTTCTGGGATGAACAGCACCGACTTAGGCAGGTGGGAGTGAGTGATATATATGCTGGGGTCGCACGAGACGGCCGTTGTTTGGATAAGGTTTACTTGCCTGGGTGGAGGAGGGGGTTGATTATGTTGTGAAAGGGGATTTATAGTGACGTTAGGCTTCTTAGGAGGTGCTATCACTTTGTTGTCAATGAGATCTTGAATCTCATGACGGAGTCTAAAGCATAGGTTAATATCATGCCCATGCTACTGATGGAAGGCACAATACTTGGCCGGGTTGTGAGTAAAAGGGGAGGGGATTTGGAAATGGGCGTGGTTCTTGGGGCTTCAAATTCCCTTTTCTAATCAGGACCCTCAAGGGAGCAGACAGAGACATGTAGAGCGGGGTGAAAACCCTCTGGCCTTGGGGTGGGTACTTTGTAGGTTGTGGGGTGGCTCCAGATGTGCCGGTAAACGGTGTGGCTATTTTCGGTGTGGTGGTGACCATACCAACGCCAGAGGTCCTCGCAGCTGCGTTGCTACTCGTAGCCGCCTTTGAACTGCGTGTAAACGCCCTCTTGGGCTGCTCTTTTCATGGTCAATTAGACCATGTTTCATCGCATCCTCTATTTGTACCCATATCTCATGAAGATTAGCAAAGGTGGGGAGGGGTAAGACAATCATCTTCTGCAGTAGCTTCGGTTGTAGATTACGAACGACCATTCTTATCTGGTCTTTCTCAGCTGGCCTGGTTGTCATCATGGAGGCCTTGGCCCCCCACCGAGCGATGAAGTTAGAGAAGCCCTCTTTCGACTCTTGCCGTGTTACCTCAAGATCGTGAGTTGTGACCTCGATTTGAGTGCTATAAGAATATTGGGCATCGAAGGCCTCAGCCATCTCTTCCCAGCTCCTCTTCACAAAATCCTCCAGTTTAGCATACCAGAATGGCCGCAATACCCGACAAGGTCCAACCAAAGAGGGATAGCTTTTGCAGTCTAGTCAGGCCTATTGGCCGCAGAATATCTGAAAATAGCCTCAAATAGACCATGGGATCACCCGAGTTGTCGAAGCGGTCTATGTGAGGCATTTTAAATCTATCTGGCAATGTCACCACCGAATTTGTGTAGCCATCCTCTTTATCTGTGATCGAGTTGACTTCCTGAGCTCGTTTCAAAAGCTTCTCAAGCTTGCTCATTTTTAAGGCTATAGGATCGACCTCAAACTCGAATGGTGTGTCCGTTGGGTAAGTCGGTGCTTTGGAAGTCTGAGGTGAGACTGGCCCTACTGGAATGTCTATATTCTCTTGGACATTAGATGTACCCCGGGTATTGGAACCCTAGGTGGGGGTGGGTGCGAAGCAGATGCCACCGCTTGTTGTGGTTGTTGTTGCTGTTGCTGTTGAAGCCTAGCAATTACTTCAGCCTACTGGGCTACAACCTCTATTTAGTGAGCGGTAACTTCCGCTTGGCAAGCAGCATCCTGCTGCATGGCCTCGATAGTCTATTGAAGTTGACACATCATATCCTCCATACTGACTGAGGGGTGTTGATCTATCAGAACCAGTATATATTCCCTTTCTAAGGTGGAAGCAGAAAACTGGGCCCAACAGCTCACAAGTGACGTAGATAGCAACTGCTGAATTGGCGACTGTTGAACCGGTGAGCTATGCCTGACTGTCCTCCGTCTCATAACTGGGGGTAGTGAAGCAAGCACTGGTTGTCCTCTAATAAGATCCTCAAATCGGTAATCCTCCTGACTCTGGTCTAGAGTGCTCGGGGGGTATTTGCCTCGTCGGAAGCAATGGTTAAATACTACCTTGCAAAAAGAAAAGTAAAGCAAAACAGAAACAACAATCAACAAACACACAGCACCTTGGCTTAGATAGAGACAACACACAGTTGAAATCATAAGCTGGACAATCTGTACCCAAACACTGATTTCTACCCCCCAAATTTCTGCCTCAAAACTGATACCCAGACTTGCCACTGATACATACATTCCTGTAGAGACACACCCTAACAGCACATATCAAGCAAGTGAGAGCCAAAACACCCCTATGGTGGGGTAGGGTTTCCCTGTCCTAGTTTCGTCAGGAACTAGGGGTTCATTATGCACGCATGAGGTTTCATACAATCGGGCATTCGGGTGAGCAACCTATCCTAATTTGGAACAGTCTCTATGGCTTCCGATATGCAACTAGGTTAATTGGTTGAAAAGGGTGCCTCAGCAAGACCACCTAATATACCTCTCGCTTCTAACACCGAGAAGTGAAAGGAGGATCAAGTGGTACAATGGTAGTCCAGATCTAAGGTTTGTGTTCCTATCGTGGCAGAGCCTACAACCGGTCAGTCTGATGGCAAGCTTTTCCAAGCGAGCCTCCGGCAAACCATTCAGGAATAATAGATGGCAAACACTATGACTTAGGTGCACCTATGCAAATACAATGCAAAGAAACACATCTCTCTCTCTCTCCTGAATGTTAAAGAATGAATAGGAGTATAATGTATTATGTATATACAATGAGAAAACACACACACGCAGCCTTCTCAGCACCCAGATCTTCTCAGTACACACACACACCCGCATACACCTCCAATTCTAGATCATTCTACAATTTATTTATGATCAAAATTAATTTAATTAAGCAACACTTAGTCTTAATAGATCTTAATTAGCACATAATTAAATCAATCATAACTAATCACAAATCCCACTTAATTTAATTAATCTACTTATTTCTATCATCAATTTTGGTTTCCCAAATGTTTGAGGCCTTCAATTTCAGATAAAGCTCAAAATCTCTACCAATAAATTATATACTCAAATTGAACACCTCATAAATAAATTTAATCCATAATAATCTTAATTCACAATCCTCATAACTTAATTAACTTCCATTCGGATAAAATTGATCAAATCTTAATCTTACTAAACTGAATCAAATACTTAATTAAACTCCCATATCTAATACTCGAAATTGAATCGATTCAACTCATCAATTTCACCTTTTTAAGCCATTTAGGCTTTTAATTTCTAATTCCAAAATAAATTCTTAATCAAATCATATACAAATCAGACTGAATAATTCTTATAACTCTCAAATTACATCAAAATAATAACTAATAAAAATCCGAATCTCCTTAATTAATTAAATGCCAAAAATGACATATGGTGGGATCGTCACTTGTAGCTTCTCGTCAACCTCTCTCAACTTAGAATCCAAATTCCCAAATACTTCAGCATTCCATTTTTTTAAAGCCAGCTTCAGTGCACTTAGTTTTGCCATGATAACATATCCAGCCAATACCTTCGCTTTTGTAGTCTCCCCTACTCTTTTAACTTCCAAAAATGTTTCAGATCTCCAGGACCCCAGTGGAGTTTGATTGGCTAGGTATTTTTTTTTTCTTCTTCCAATAACTAACCCCAGCATGTGTGGGGGGTAGAGGGAAAGTGAGGGTCTCAATCACATTTGTTTAACTTCATTTAGAAACCCATGATGAAAAACCCAAGCATTTATGAATCTAAAAGATTTAGGACCCCAATTCTTTTCATCCTCTATTAATAAAATGGGACTATGATCTAAGAGCAATCTAGGTAACCCCCATAATTTAAATTTAAACCACTGAAAGACAAATTAGATAGTGAGGGGGCTATCACCAAATCCCCCATTCCCAAATACTTCAACATTCCATTTTTTTAAAGCCAGCTTCAGTGCACTTAGTTTTGCCATGATAACATATCCAGCCAATCCCTTCGCTTCTGTAGTCTCCCCTACTCTTTTAACTTCCAAAAATGTTTCAGATCCCCAGGACCCCAGTGGAGTTTGATTGGCCAGGTATTTTTTTTTTCTTCTTCCAATAACTAACCCCCACATATAGGGGGGGGAGTTGGAGGGAAAGTGAGGGTCACAATCACGTTTGTTTAACTTCATTTAGAAACCCATGATGAAGAACCCAAGCATTTATGAATCTAAAAGATTTAAGACCCCAATTCTTTTCATCCTCTATTAATAAAATGGGACTATGATCTAAGAGCAATCTAGGTAACCCCCATAATTTAAATTTAAACCACTCTGAATTCATCAAGAACCTATCAATCTGACTCCAACTTCAAGAATCTCCCCGTGTATTGCTAACCTAGCATTGGAGTGTCTATCAGTCCCAAATTATTAACAAAATCAGACATGCCCGTCCCTTCTTACACAGCCCTTTATTCCCCCTACTGATTTGATCTCATTAAAATCCCCTCCTAAACACCAAGGTTTAGGGAATGAGCTTTTTAGAGTACTCAACACACCCCATAAATTCCTCTTACCTACTACTTCACTGGGTGCATAAATATTACCAATTACACATTCAATTCTAAGATGAATAGTACCTTATAATAGAATGAAACTTCTAGAGCAACAGCAGTTCTTGGATACAAAAATCTAAAGATTAAAAATACACATGATTTTTCTTGATCTTTCTTTTATTCCTTAACTGAATTTGATCACCATTTAAATCCCCATTTTCATCTTGGCTTTGCCTTAATCTGGGCCATGAGTCGAACAAATCTCCAAATGGGCTACTTTCCTTGGCCCATTTACTGCACACCTGATGCCTCTAGCTAGATTGGATTATCACAAACCTCATTAATAAGAGCTGGCCCAATACCTACATCTACTATATGGGCTTTATCAAATACCACTTCCAAATTAATCCCAGGCCTAGCTAATTCATTTCCACTGAGACTTTTTATAGGCCCACACAAATCCATCAGATGATCATCCCCTCTACTTCCACAATCTTCTGACGTCTGTTCTAAACCACCTTGCATGCCTCCCTTGAGACCTGAGCTCAACAGTAATGATGCCTCCTTTGTCCTTCGAGCTTCCAACTCAGCTCCTGTTTCATTATATGATAATAACACAAGCAGATTCATTGATTGATAATATAGTAATTGGTCGGACTCATCAACAAGAACTGACATCAATCTTCTAGCACTTGGATTTTTTTTTATTTTTTTTAAGAAGAAGAAGAAGAAGAAGAAGAAGAAGAAGACAAAGCACACATACATCATGTTACATAAACTAAAAATAAAAGCATGTTCTTGTTGCAGGTCCCTCCTTGAGTCCTTGTCTTAGTTAAGAGGAAAGAGCTGCAGAGCCCGAACGTGGTTAGCGCCTTCAAATTCCACAATGTAAAGTATGAATTGCAAGCGGGAATGTAGTAAAACGTCACTGTTTCACCCTCCTCCAGTTCATTTTCCCTTACTAGACGAAGCCATTCTTCTCGTCTCAAGGCCTTTCTCTGATCTCTCCTTATTATCATGTGAAGGTTCCAAGGTCTTCCACTATTATCCCACACAAACATGTTGGCACTATTGTGACCAGGTAAATAATTTGCCGCATTTGGTATCTCCAAGGTGTGGGTAATATCCATGTGAGAGAGCACCTTCCCAAAGCAATAATGTCCCATATCCACTCTTGAATCCGTTCTCCAACACCTAAACAATTAAAAAGGATTTGATAAATTAAATGTATATTCAAAGAATAACTTAAATTAATCCAAGAAGAAAAGATACAAACACTAATAAAACAAATGGAATATGTATCCTCCCACCCCACTCCTCTATGGCTGTATTTGATTTATAGATTTTGGGAGGAGTTTTTGAAAAACAATTGGAAAAAGATATTGTGAAACGTAAGTGAAATATAGTTATATTTCATTCACATTCTACCTACTTTTTCTTTTTTCCATTCCAAATCATTCCTTATTTTTATTACCCAAACACAAGAAGTAACAGATTAGGTGAGAGAGACCTTTCTAAAAACTTTACAAAGTTTGAGAGAGAGAGAGAGAGAGAGAGAGATTACTTTTGCTTCCTCTTATCTCTGAAACTCATGTCTAATGTAGGGTTTATATAGGACGGATGATAGAAAGACGACAAGGTGAGATACTTTTTATTTATAATTGGTACTGAGATCCTATTGTGAATTGGTGTTGTGCACTCGAAGTGAACTGAGACAAAATTATCTAGTGTTCTAAAAAAGGAAAATTCATGTAATGTTTTACTTTATATTTTTTATTGGTTAAAACAGTGAAAATTCGCATTTTTGTGTTATTTTAAGAGAGAATATGACAAGTGTTATGCAATAAATTATTTTCTTTATTAGTAAAAAATTGTTTATTGATGAAAATCAAAGAATATAGCGAATGATGAACATTATTAAAGAATGTGAGTGCATAAAACATTAAAACAAAACTGAACAATTCAAATTAAGTTGGCACCAAAAAACAAGTTTAATTATTTGTTAGCACATCACATGTAATAAATAATGTGAAGTATAGCTTCAATACCATCGCATAATCTTCTGAAAAACGAGGTGTAATATTCCTTTTTGACATATTATCTGTTTGACATTCTTGTCAAAGGGAGAAGCTTCTATCTAGTTGGGAAAATCAACTAGAGAGTACTGGTAGGCCTCCGTGGGGCTACCACGAAGTCCATATTGATAATCTAAACCGTTCAATGTTGAGGGTTCGTCGAGCACTTTAACCATGCAAAAGCATCACGTTGATTGAATATCGATAGCCACTTGATCAGATCACAATTGTATTAATAATTTATTTTCAAAATCATATTTACCATTAACACAAATGTGTTAATAATTAAATATGATACGATGATTTCACTACAACAAAAGTAACCTATGGTGATGAAAAATAGTGAAGAAAATAAATTTCGTCACTAAATAAGAATAATCCGTGACGAATTATAAAATTGTCACATAATAAAAAAATAAAAATAATAGGTGACGAAATTTATTTTCATCAACAAATACTTCTTTTTACATGAAAAATTAAGTTTCGCCACCAAAGGTTTTCCTGCTAATTTTGTTTTGGTGGCGCCAAAATTTTGAGACTTTTGGTGAGAAAACAATTTGCCACCAATTATAAAATTATTAGTGAGGAATATATTTTTGTCACCAATAATTTTATATATATATATATATATTTTTTTTTTGAGAAAGTTAATTTTAAATATTTTAAGATCATTTGGTGAGAAATATATTTTTCTCACTAATAAATATTTTGAGACTTTATAGTGAAGAAATTATTTTGTCATTAATTTTAGAGCAAAAATTTTGACATATGGGGCGGTAATGAAAAAAAATAGACTACTAACCTTTTTTCCCTTGTTTTTTTGTTTATTAGTTTTCCCCTCTCTCTTTCTCTCTCTCTCTCTCTCTCTCTCTCTCTCTCAGAACAAAAAACAAGTTAATTAACTCTCTAAGTAACCTATGGTGACAAAAAGTACTGAAGAAAATAAATTTCGTCACTAAATAAGAATAATCGGTGATGAATTATAAAATTTTGTCAAATATAATAAAAAAGTAAAAATAATAGGTGTCGAAATTTATTGTCGTCAATAAATACTTTTTTTTAGATAAGGAAAAATTAAATTTCGTCAATAAAGGTTTTCCCTCCAATTTTTTTGGATGGCACCAAAATTTTGAAGGGGTTCAAATAACATAATTAAGCCTATGATTAGGACTAAAAGAAGATGGAGTGTTCTCAAGTAATTCCTTAACATCCAAAGTATTCGCAGAGGGCCACTTCCAAACATGACTGACAACAATGACATTAACTTTAGCATCACAATTCAAAGTAGTCTCTTACATGATTCTATTCCCAAACCTAGCCCACAAGGAGCCTAAAGGGTGCTAATTATTTTGATTGTGTTGTAGTTTCTGATTTTACTAGAATAGATATTATAGTTTGGATGTTATATATTAATTTATTGATATTATGAGACATGTATTTTGCTTTTGTTGTTTTATGAAAATAAACAGTTTAATTTTATATTGATTTGTATTAGATGCAGGTAAGCTTAAATTGAATACTGACGGCTGCTCAAAGGGAGTCCCAGGATAGGAAAGATATGGGGGACTGCTATGAGATGTAGCAGGTACTTGGTTATGGGGCTACTATGGCAAGATAGGACATTGCACAAGCTTGGAGATGGAGCTATGAGCCATCTATAGGGGACTCACCATCCTTTTGCAAAAAGGTACTAAAGATGTGAAAATCGAATCAGATTCAAAGCAAGCCATCAACCAAATCCTACATGGCCCAAATCAAAACTCACCTTACAAGGCCCTCATTGAAGATGCTAAGTTTTTGCTGCAAAGGTGCAATTGCTCTTTTGGCCGCACTCTGCGTGAGGGTAAAAAAGTTGATGATCAATTAGCCAACATGGGAGTAGTTCATGATGAGCATGAAAACCTTCAGATGAAGTTAGATCCTCAATTATAGATGACATGGTTGGAGTTAGTGTTATGAGGGACTAGCCCTCTGGTTTGTTGTAGTTGACTCTTTGAACTCTTGTTTCCTTTAAATTTCCTATGAATCGAAAAATTTTGTATTAGATATTTTATTGAATAGATTATTAAAATGCACAGGGATTGCTTATTGAAAAAATATATATATAAATTGCAAATATCCCCCCACACAATTTTTAAAATTTATTTATTATTGGCAACGAAAAAAAATTGATGCTAAAATTTGCTAATTCCAGCAAATAATTTCGTCACACATGTTCAGTATTTCGTCACTAAATTTGGGACCATAGTGACTCATGAAGCAGACAATCTTCGCAGGGGCACTATTATTATTCCTTATATCTGAGACACATCTTTAGCATCAACAAAGACTTCGACTTCTGAGCCACCGCCGAAAGAGACGCAAGTTACCTTTGATCAACTTGAAAAACCAATGTTTTCCATGCCTTCAAAAAAGCCGTCAGAAACCAGTCACAACGAGCATGCACCGTTATTTCCATGAGCTAAGAAATGCTAATCTTCTCAAAATTGTTCCATTAGTCATGAGGTAGAATTTTTACTAAAAGAGAACATAAAAAGCTTATAGTGATAAATTTTATATCATGGACTAGCATATAGTATAATATTCCATTGTATTGGTATGTTATATAATTCGGCATAATTGGAACCGTATTGCAAAAACATGTGACATTCTCATTACTTTTAAAAAAAAAAAAAAAGACTTTGATCGTATCCAATCAATCAAATCCATCATACCCCATAGAGGTATCTATTAGCTCAAGTTCATTTGCACATCGCATGATAGATGCATCATATTGCACTATTATTACACAAACATGTGCTTTGGTCGTATCTATACACATCCAATTTTTTTCATATCTCGTAAAGATATATATTTGCATTGTATTGCATTTTCACTTCAAGATAGGGACTACATAACCTCACATAATAGATTAATATGACCTGTTGCTATCTGATTTTCATTACAGTACGCATGAAAATCTCAAATGGAAATCCTCGTATGTGATTTGTCATCTAATACAAACAATACCTTCTCGTATGATTGGTCACTACTATAAAATCAAATAAAGATCACACTTTTTTTTGTGTGATGTATGTTATTTAATCACACCTTTTAAATTTTATTAAAGTGTGATATTTGGGAGTGTGATTAAAAAAGGTCATTTTTAATCACACATTTTAAGTGTGCTTAATAACATTTAGATCACACCATTTAAATGTGATTAATAACATTTAGATCACACC